CAAGGTTATTTTGAAAGCATACTTCAATGAGATAGTGTTCCTGACTCCCATGAATGTTCTAAATAATTATGTTTTTCCTACACAAAAATAAATGATGCTCTAACTCGCAAAATTTGTGAGATATCTTTTCAAAATCTTCAAGACTTGCATAACTGTTGCATTAGAATTTTCATTCTCATTGTAAACTTTTTCTAACTGCAAAACATTTGTTTGATATCAAGGAATCTCACATATAAGCAGCAGTGATGAGTTTATTCTTTAAGGCTTGAAACTATGTTAAGTAATTGGAGAATCATTTCACTAAAAATCATATCCAGGGGCATGTCAGCTGAAGACCTTAAGCACAGACATGTTGCTTCTCCCAGTTAATGCTTTCCCCAACTTCTTTACTCTTTATTGGGGCAAAATTTGAAGACTTTGTTGTGCCAACTACAGTCAATCCGGGGCAATCACGTCGAGATTTGATGAATTCCTCTAAGAGTTTGAAGACACCAGAGCATGGTGAATGCCAGGTCTTTTGTAAAATCCTCTTGAGACGATTTCTCCTCATCAACCATATAGCTCGGGGCATTTTAGAGGTGAAGCTATTCGCAAGAATTGTCGTGCAACATGCAGCTCATCAGCAGTAAACTTGGGGCATCCAAAATTGGTCCCAGGGGCAATCTAGATTTGTCAAGATATGTGATATGTATTGCACACATTATCAGAGGGTGGTGTTCCCAGTATCTCCAGCTAAGCATGACTTTTTTCCAGCTGAAACTTTGTTTGTGTTGTTATCCTTTCAATGGATTGTTGGTGATAAAAGACTGGACTTTGGGTTTTTTACCGAAAATACTTTCCTCTCCAGAGAGATTTAAGCCTTGTAAAAGGACTTTACTCCAATGATGGCTTCTTTTGTTCTATCTCCAGTAATGTTCCCCTTTTGTTGAGATTAGCTGAGCGTCGGGTTGTACTGGGACGTCTTATCATGTTCTGTCTATCTCCCCTGTTTGTTTTGTCAACATATACATGACATTCATTCATTCGTTCATACTTGCATCATGCACGCATATTTGTATTTTGTTCATATCTTTGAGTTCGTATACCTTGGTTATGTCTATTCAAATAGCATATTCGATCTTTCCAAATAGAGTGTCAACTTAAGCAGAAAGTGCGCCACTTTTTTAATTCCCTACTGAGTTAACTCTCGTGGAAGAATCTTGGTTTAGCTTTCCTTTTCCATCTCTGGATAGGATAAATCCCCATTTGGGTTTGTTTCCTCATTGGGTGGAGTCTTGTTTGACTGTTTTCTCCCCAGTTTATTCCTGGATTGAGCTTTGTCTCTTGTGAACGATACCTTGTGAATATCTCTAGGCTGTGAAACCTAGATGGAAAGTGCATTTATTTTGCAATATAAATAGCGGGTCTTCTCAGGAAGGATTTATTCATGGTTCCCCATCGGAGATGAACTTTATTCCCCAACAGTGTTATCACAACCTTCTTCTGGAATATCGACATGACAACAAGCGACTGACTCTTTATTTGAGCCGTTTGATTATTTCTGATTTCTCTATGACAAATGGCGGTCTCTTCATTAGCAGTTTGTCCATCCCCGATGAAATTATTGGGTCTCACCTCCAGCAATATCTTCACGATATTTTATGGGTATCTTTTTGGGAAACAGCAAGCGGCAGTCTCTTCATGAGGCAACTTGTGTGTTATGGATACTCTTGACAAATAGCAAGCGGCAGTCTCTTCATGAGGCAACTTGTGTGTTATGGATACTCTTGAGAAACAGCAAGCGACAGTCTCTTCATGAGGCAACTTGTGTGTTATGGATACTCTTGACAAACAGCAAGCGACAGTCTCTTCATGGACAACTTGTATGTTATCAACACTTTTTGAAAACGGCAAGTGGCGCTCTCTTCATGAGCAGCTTGTACGGAAAATGGCAAGTGGCAGCTTCTTCATGAGCAGCTTGTTCGTTAGTATTATTTGGAAGACAGCAAGTGGCAGCTTATCTATTTGAGCAACTTGTGTGTTATTGTTCCCTTGAAAACGGCAAGTGGCAGCTTCTTTATGAGCAACTTGTGGGTTATTGGCAACAAGTGGCAGACTCTTCATGAGCAGCTTGTGTGCTTTGATATTCTTTGAAGACAACAAGTGGCAGACTCTTCATGAGCAGCTTGTGTGCTTTGATATTCTTTGAAGACAACAAGTGGCGGACTCTTCATGAGCAGCTTGTATGCTTTAATTTTCTTTGAAGACAACAAGTGGCGGTCTCTTCATGAGCAGCTTGTATGTTATTGACACCTTTGAAAGGAAGCAAGTGGCGGCCTCTTTATTTGAGCAGCTTGTGTATCCCCAACAATAATGTCTACTCAGCAAATGGCATACCTTTCGGAAAAGTCCCGTGGAGAAGTTTGTTATTTTAGCCTTTTCAAGCGATATCTTGGTCAGAGAAGAGATGTGTTACCGTTCTTGGTAAAATTCAGAAATCAGAGATGTTTATCTCCAGCCACAGTGCTGATGTCAATCATTTTGTTTCCCAACCACAGTGCTGATGTCAATCATTTTCCAGTCTCAGTACTGATGTCCATTAGTTCCTTTTCCAGTCACAGTACTGATGTCAATCATATGCTTTTCCAGTCACAGTACTGATGTAAATCATTACCTTTTCCAGTCTCAATACTGATGTAAATCATTCAAAAGTCTCTCATTTGAAGTCTATGACTCTGTTTCCCCAATGGAGTTACAACCTCTTCCTCTGTGGGATTACTATATAATATGCTTGGTTTCTCCCGCATAGTTTGTCTCATATGGCATCATTCCCCATAAAATTCAAAACATCACATTCATATCATATCATAAACATAATTGCGGTATCTTAAGGCCAAAAATTGTGTATTCTATATTTAAGTCCTTTCAATCTCGTCATATAGAAGAAACTTAAATAGGGGCAACTGTTGTACCCCAATTTTTGACCTAAGATCCCATTTTTATTTTTGCATTTTTTAAGATAAGTCAAGGTCACGAAATACGGTCGGTTTTAACCTCTCACCTTCGAGCTTTGACTATGCGAAGATTGTCAAGTGTTTTGAACATTTTTAGCATATGTATCACTAATTTCTAATCGCATACAAAGGTATATGTTCATGTTTTCTTTTGTTTCATGTGCAGAGACAGGTCTGGATTAAGGGAATCAGGTGTCGCGCCTCAATTAAGGTTTTGAGTCTCCCAAGCCATAAATACGGTTGATTGTGGATTCTCGAAGACTGATTCATCAAGGCACAACTGTCGCACCCTATTTTTCGCCGCTTCACTTTTTCGACTGATGCATTTTTTGTCGTTAATTTGAAAAATCGATCATTTCGCATACTTTCTTGTTTTTATTCATCATTCTAATTTCTATTTAAAGAAAAAAAAGAATTAAAATAGTTTATCATTTGCATTTTCTATCATATTTCCAATGAATTTGTTTTAGTTCAAAAATCTGTCTTATTAATTTTTTTTCTAATTTTAATCTATTTCTATTTCTTTTAGATACTACTAACTATTTTCTCTTTTTCTCGTTATTGTTATTATTATTAGTATCTTTATTGCATTTTATTATTTCATCTTTTATTGTTACTAATTATTTTTATTTTGTTCTCATTATTGTTATTATCATTGTTGCATTTTATTATTCTTATTTTATTTATTGTTACTAATACGTTTTTTTCTTTTTCTTATATTATTGTTACTATTATGTTATTACTTGTTTGTTTTTGTCAAAAATATAGAAAGAAAATTACAAAGTAATTCCATTACAATATCATTCACTACTCTTCAAAGTGTAGGTTTCAAGTGCCTAAAATACAAAGTCTCAAGATCTAACTATTCATCATCCATTATTCAAACCATTCAACTTTCAAGACAATGTTCAAAATTCAAATGTCAAGTTCAAATTCCATTCAAAGTTGCAAATGTTTTTCAAGAGAGGTTCGAATACAAGGGACAAAAGTTCCATCCAATTTATAATGCTTACAATTTGGAATTATGGAAATTTTGAATTCAAATATAACAAGTTACAAAGTCTAAACCATATTTCACCAAAAGTTGTCATTTCACTCAAACACTCAATGTAATAATAAAAGTTACAAATTTAATCATCAAATGATCAAATACATCAATTCAAAACTACCAAGTCCTATTTATAAATGACATCAAGCTCCCAAAACTCATCCAAACCTTGCTTCAATTTTCATCCAAATCTGTCCACCAAAACAACAAAATATATGAAAACAAAATCAGTCCAATTTCAAAAGAAAAAGAGAGGGAAGATACATGTATTGTTACATGGTAAAATCATAAAAATACAAAATAGAAAGGGACCTTTCCAATGATACTACACTCCAAATTCTGCTACTGCAATATGCCCAAAATCATCCATGCTGCAATGCTGCAAAAAACTGCATAATAATGCCAAAAAAACTGTTGTTGTATGCTGCTCCAAACCCTGCATATCAGTCCAAGAAATAACAACAAAATAGCCATACAAATACCTGCACCAAAAAGCAATAAAACAGTGACAATAAAACCAACTTTTCCCTCCCAATTTCACTCCATTTGTCTATATAAGAGGGATTACTGATAAAAAAAGGGATACGGAAAAGAAAAGGGAAGTTGCAGTATTACCGGGCAACCATAAGAGGCTCCATGTGCTGCTAATCAAGGTCGCTTGTGATGAATCAGATTTTTGCATCCAATATGCATATTCATCTACAACACCAACAACAATATTCTTGTACAAAATTATTTTGCAGAAGTAGAAGAATAGAGGTGCAATAACAAAAATCAGAAGGAAAAGATTGGGATACAAGCTGAAAACATCATCGCGATTGAAGGTCAAACCACGACACAACCATTATCGCAAACGCGCCCCTCCTTGAATCTTTTCAGACTCGCGATCAACAACCACAAACACAATATAAATTAACCTGTACAATTTTTTCATGTTTGTTTGTTTTGCAAAAGAAGAAATGGTTGTCGCAAAACACCGATGCCGAAGCCCTTCGGATCACTCCATCCGTCATACCATCGACCATACTACCACAACACCCCAGTCGAATCCTCCACTAACGGATCCCACCGCACCACCACTGCATCCTCTGTGCCAGATCGAACCTCTCAGCCACACAACAACACTTCCTCTTCTGTTACGCCAACCTCCATCGTCAAAATCACACACCACCATCACCGGTTCTGCACATCAACTCCTCGAGACCACTAGATCCGTCCCAACCTCCATGCAAATTGCAACCAAACACCACGCTTATCCTGCCAACCTGGAGTTACCACCAACCTTCTTCCATAGATCGGAGACGTCATCCACTTCCAGGTGTTAGATTGAGGAAAAAAAATGGGTATGCAGGAAAAGAAGAAGCAGAATGTTAGACTGAGGAAGAGAAAACGAGTATGCGGAAAATGGGTTTGTGTTTTATGATTTTCTCTGTTATTATGTTCATTTGTTGTTGTTTTATTTTATTAATAAAAATATAAAAATATGTCCATGTGTCACCTTGTAATTGGGTCGTTAAGGGGTTAAACAATTGATGTAGAGATGCAACAAAGGGACGTTGCATCCATCTGCCATCCCAGTGTGTTTTATTTTTCTATTTCATATTTTATTAGGTTTCAGGGATAAAAAAAATATATAAAAAAAAATTAGTAAATCTTATATTTAGATTTAGTTTAGTATTAATTTAGAATTTTTAATTAGTTTAGATGTATTTTATAACTTTAAAATATTTAGAATCATAATTAATAACTTTAGAATTTTATGTGTTGTAGTAACAATCACTATTTTATTTCATTTAGTTTTGACTTAGTAAATTTTAGAGTTTTATTTGTTTTAGTTTTTGACTTAGTAAACTTTAGAATTTTATTTTAGTTTTATTTTAGTAACTTTAGGATTTTATTTCATTTAGATTTGACTTAGTAAATTTTAGAGTTTTATTTTAGTTTTTGACTTAGTAAACTTTAGAATTTTATTTTGTTTTAGTTTTAATTTAGTAAACTTTAGAATTTGATTTCATTTTATTTAAGTTAACTTTAGAATTTTAGTTGTTAGTTTTAGTTTAGGGACTTTAGAACTTTATTCGATTTAGAATTAGTTTAATAAGTTTAGAATTTTAGTTGTTTAGAATTAGTTTAATATTCTTTCAGAATTTTATTTGATTTAGATTTAGTTTAGTAACTTTGGAATTTTTTTGTTTTAGATTAGCAACCTTGGAATTTTTATTTAGTTTAGATTTAATTTACTAATTTTAAAATGTTTAATTTAGTTTAGATTTAATTTAGTATTTTAGAACTATTTTTGCAACCTTAGAATTTGTAGTTAGTTTAGAATTTTTTTAGTAAGTAATCTTAAATTTTTAATATAGTTTAAATAACTTCTTTAGATAATTAGTTACATTTTCTTTTATTTTATTTAAATATCTTTGTCATTTTAATTTCTCGATGCCTTTAGGTCATTAATCTGTTTCGTCATATTTATTTTCTTGTGAATTCTGATTGCTTATATTTTGATGTCTATTTTATTTTGCTCGCTCGATTTACTCCAAGGGAAAGATTCAAATTTGTTGACTTCACGTCATCAAATACATCTCATCCGATCGTGTGAATACCCTTTTTTTTTTCTTTTTTTTGTTTGTTTACTATTTTGCTAAACTCAAGATAATTTCCCCAAAAGACTCCATTTTCAAACTCACACCTTTTAAGTCAAAACTTCGACATTAGGTTATCACATCTTCAAAATCTCGCCAACACCTATTTTTAGCAAACGAACCATTTTAATCAAACAAACAATTTTTTAACCAAAAACAGATATTTCAAAAGGTTCCTGCAGAGTACCGCAGATGCATTGGGTGCTAATACCTTCCCATTGTATAACCAACCCCCGAACTCTCGATCTCTTTCAAAAACGCATTGTATTTTTATTACTTTTAAGTATTATTTTACATTGCATACTTTAGGGTTTTATTTCACTCTTTTGCCTTTTCCCATGGAAATAATAAAGCGCGGTGGCGACTCTTGCTTTTGCGAGTCAAGTTAATTAATAGCTTGATATCCGATTTTCACCGCTACAGGAAGGTAGTCTTTTGTCGATATTTTTGTTACTACAATGGATTGTATCCTTGTCATTGTGAAAAGTAGTTTGTTGTCGTTATCTTTGTTACTCCAATGGATGGTAGCCTAGTCATTATGTAAGGTAGTCTGTTGTCGAGATTTTTGTTACTCCAATGGATGGTAGCCTTGTCATTATGGAAGGTAGTCTATTGTCGTGATTTTTGTTACTCCAATGGATGGTAGCCTAGTAATTATTAAAGGTAGTCTATTGTCTAGATTTTTGTTACTCCAATGGATGGTAGCCTTGTCATTTTGGAAGGTAGTCTGTTGTCGAGATTTTTGTTACTCAGATGGTAGCCTTGTCATTATGGACGGTAGTCTTTATTCGATATTTTTGATACTACAATGTATTGTATCCTTGTCATTATGAAAAGTAGTTTGTTGTCGATATCTTTGTTACTCCGATGGATGGTAGCCTTTTCATTATGAAAGGTAGTCTGTTGTTGATATGTTTGTTTCTCCAATGGATGGTAGCCTAGCCATTATTGAAGGTAGTCTATTATCGAGATTTTTGTTACTCCAATGGATCGTAGCCTTGTCATTTTGGAAGGTAGTTTGTTGTCGTGATTTTTGTTACTCCATTGGATGGTAGCATTGTCATTATGGAAGGTAGTCTGTTGTCGAGATTTTTGTTATTCCAATGGATGGTAGCCTTGACATTATGGAAGGTAGTATATTATGATATCTATGTTACTCCAATGGATGGTAGCCTTGTCATAATGGAAGGTAGTCTTCTGTCGAGATTTTTGTTACTCCAATGGATGGTAGCCTTCTCATTATGGAAGGTCGTCTGTTGTCGAAATTTTTTTTATTCCAATGGATGGTAGCCTTTTCATTATGAAAGGTAGTATGTTGTCGATATCGTTGTTAATCCAATGGATGGTAGCCTAGTCATTATGGAATGTAGTCTATTGTCGAGATTTTTGTTACTACAATGGATGGTAGACTTGTCATTATAGAAGGTAGTCTGTTGTCGAGATTTTTGTTACTCCAATGGATGGTAGCCTTGTCATTATCGAAGGTAGTCTGTTGTAGTGATTTTTGTTACTCCAATGGATGGTAGCCTAGTAATTATTGAAGGTAGTCTATTGTCCATATTTTTGTTACTCCAATGGATGGTAGCCTTGTCATTTTGGAAGGTAGTATGTTGTCGAGATTTTTGTTACTCCGATGGTAGCCTTGTCATTATGGAAGGTAGTACTTTTTAGATATTTTCGTTACTACAATGGAATGTAGCCTTGTCATTATGAAAAGTAGTTTGTTGTCGATATCTTTGTTACTCCAATGGATGGTAGCCTATCAATTATGTAAGGTAGTCTGTTGTCGAGATTTTTGTTACTCCAATGGATGGTAGCCTTGTCAATATGGAAGGTAGTTTATTATCGTGATTTTTGTTATTCCAATGGATGGTAACCTTGTCATTATGAAAGGTAGTCTGTTGTCGATATCTTTGTTTCTCCAATGGATGGTAGCCTAGTCATTATTGAAGGTAGTCTATTGTCGAGATTTTTGTTACTCCAATGGATGGTAGCCTTGTCATTTTGGAAGGTAGTTTGTTGTCGAGATTTTTGTTACTCTAATGGATGGTAGCCTTGTCATTATGGAAGGTAGTCTTTTCTCGATATTTTTGTTACTACAATGGATTGTATCCTCGTCATTATGAAAAATAGTTTGTTGTCGTTATCTTTGTTACTCCAATGCATGGTAGCATAGTCATTATGTAAGGTAGTTTTTTGTCAAGATTTTTGTTACTCCAATGGATGGTAGCCTTGTCATTATGGAAGGTAGTCTGTTGTCATGATTTTTGTTACTCCAATGGATGGTAGCCTAGTAATTATTGAAGGTAATCTATTGTCGAGATTTTTGTTACTCCAATGGATGGTAGCCTTGTCATTTTGGAAGGTAGTCTGTTGTCGAGATTTTTGTTACTCCGATGGTAGCCTTGTCATTATGGAAGGTAGTCTTTATTCGATATTTTTGATACTACAATGGATTGTAGCCTTGTCATTATGAAAAGTAGTTTATTGTCGATATCTTTGTTACTCCGTTGGATGATAGCCTTTTCATTATGAAAGGTAGTCTGTTGTCGATATCTTTGTTTCTCCAATGGATGGTAGCCTAGCCATTATTGAAGGTAGTCTATTATTGAGATTTTTGTTACTCCAATGGATCGTAGCCTTGTCATTTTGGAAGGTAGTTTGTTGTCGTGATTTTTGTTACTCCATTGGATGGTAGCATTGTCATTATGGAAGGTAGTCTGTTGTCGAGATTTATGTTATTCCAATGGATGGTAGCCTTGACATTATGGAAGATAGTATATTATGGATATCTATGTTACTCCAATGGATGGTAGCCTTGTCATAATGGAAGGTAGTCTTCTGTCGAGAATTTTGTTACTCCAATGGATGGTAGCCTTCTCATTATGGAAAGTAGTCTGTTGTCGAAATTTTTTTTATTCCAATGGATGGTAGCCTTGTCATTATGAAAGGTTGTCTGTTGTCGATATCTTTGTTAATCCAATGGATGGTAGCCTAGTCATTATGGAAGGTAGTTTGTTGTCGTTATCTTTGTTACTCCAATGGATGGTAGCCTAGTCATTATGTAAGGTAGTCTGTTGTCGAGATTTTTGTTACTACAATGGATGGTAGCCTTGTCATTATGGAAGGTAGTCTGTTGTCATGATTTTTGTTACTCCAATGGATGGTAGCCTAGTAATTATTGAAGGTAGTCTATTGTCGTGAATTTTGTTACTCTAATGGATGGTAGCCTTGTCATTTTGGAAGTTAGTCTGTTGTCGAGATTTTTGTTACTCCGATGGTAGCCTTGTCATTATGGAAGGTAGTCTTTTTTCGATATTTTTGTTACTACAATTGATTGTAGCCTTGTCATTATGAAAAGTAGTTTGTTGTCGATATCTTTGTTACTCCAATGGATGGTAGCCTAGCAATTATGTAAGGTAGTCTGTTGTCGAGATTTTTGTTACTCCAATGGATGGTAGCCTTGTCATTATGGAAGGTAGTCTATTATCGTGATTTTTGTTATTCCAATGGTTGGTAACCTTGTCATTATGAAAGGTAGTCTGTTGTCGATATCTTTGTTTCTCCAATGGATGGTAGCCTGGTTATTTTTGAAGGTAGTCTATTGTCGAGATTTTTGTTACTCCAATGGATGGTAGCCTTGTCATTTTGGAAGGTAGTTTGTTGTCGAGATTTTTTTT